TATTTATAGTTTTTTATTTTATTATGCATTTATCGTTTAATTTGTTGTTTTGTCATCTAGCATGTTGAGTTTTTTATTTAAACAGTTGGGCTCCATTTGCACCAAACTTTACTTTAAGACTGAAAGTTAACCTCTATCATGGGACATTTTTAATAATAATAAAAAAGCTTTTTAACCAACAGAAGCATTAAATTCCCCCCTAAGCCTCAAGTCTCTGATCACTTCCATTCGTATGCCGACATCAGATATCAGAGGTTATTCATAAAGTCTCTGGATCTGCCTGGGTTTGTAAGATTAGAACTGCAGCGAGGGTTATTGACTGCTCGGCCTGCCTGGCTATCTTTCGGCACTGTGGAGGACTTTAGAGAGCCACAAAAGGCCAGTTTGAACCTTTCCCTCCAGAGTGCTGTCCCCCCCTCCCTTTCCCACAGAACTAATCCACTCTCAGCTGTTTTCCTGTTGTGGAGTCAAATTCCTTCCAGCTCTTCTCAACCACCCACCTCCCCTCAACCGGCATCAAAATTGTGAGCTCTGCTCTCTGCAGCGCTGATTACTTTGACATATTAATAGGAGGCTTTTAAAGAGGAGAAGTCTTTGTCTGAGCATTAATCCCCATCAATCTTTCACCTTGTTCAAACAAATACCCTGAGGATTGTGGCCATTTGGGTTGGCAGAATCCAACAGCGTTTTCACAAAGAGGGGATTGTAATTTAGTGGATTACTGGGGTGGGGATATTCTATTGAGGCTTCATCAAGAAAGTTACATGGTGCTCAGATGTAACAAAAGCAATAGTTGGGGATGAATCTGTAATATCAGATTATTTTGAAAGGATTTAGGGTGAATAGTTGGGTTTGTGGATATTATTTATGCATCTCTTCACCTTTTAATACCCTCTCACTCACGCCGATGATGGATTCAATATTCTCTGAATGAAGTGATCTTTTGTTGGGCATGAAATGGAAATTACCTCAGTGGTTGGCAACACTGTCAGCAGCCTGTTTTATGTGATCATTTGTGCAGGCGAAATCACCATTGTGTAGATTTACCAGGGGCACATTTGCCATAGAAGGCCTGCGTGGGGTGTACCCATGATCCATAGCAGAGGTCTCGCACTGGCACAGCACTTATAAATCTGCTTCGCACTTTGGCCACACTCCTCTTTTTCACAGCTACTCCATATCCGAAGCAGCCRCAGAGATGTAACACGGCACTGCTTGTTTCTTCCCGGCTAAACCYCGAGCTTTTAGACGCCGGCTCGTTTTACCAGCGATGACCGTTACTACTCCTTTTTACTTCTTATGTCCCCTTTACGTCCAGGGATGTCTCAGCCCTCATTCTGCTTAGCTTTGATGTCCTTTTACTTATATGTTTATAATTAATTCACCAGGACCATCAGACTCGTGTGTCGTGATAAAGTGATAGGGCATAGGACTTGGATGAAGAGATAAAGTTAGATCATGAAATCAGTTTTATTAATTTATCTTTTTCTAAACTCTTTCATTTGCTTTTAGTTTTCCGAATTCTATATTCTTATGACCCATCCACACTTTTACTCCTAAAGCGTGTTCTATTCTCTGGTGGATTCATAACATTTCAACAAGAAGCACAAATGTAGAATAGAAGGGGGATTGGTTTCAGAGGTGTAATAAAAGTGTGAAATGTTTGTACGTTTGAGTGATTTTGTGTTTTCTTTTTTTTTTTCTTTTTTTAGACCCCCGATTCATAAGCATACACTTGATCCCTGAAAGCGACAACCCTGAAGACGACAAGCTCTTCCTGTTTTTCAAAGAGAATGCCATGGATGGAGAGCACACCGGGAAGGCCACTATCGCCAGGATAGGACAACTGTGTAAGGTAACAACACGCAAACCAAAAAACAAGACTGATTTTGAAGAAGTTCGACATGAATTTAATTGTGCTGCTGAACGCATTTGCAGATGAGAGTTTACTTAAATGTGTTGATGGTTTTGCAGAATGACATGGGAGGTCACCGGAGCCTGGTGAACAAGTGGACCACTTTCCTGAAAGCCCGGCTCATCTGTTCCGTTCCTGGCGTCAACGGCATCGACACACACTTTGACGAACTACGTAAGTGTGTGTTCTTCATTTTATAAACAGCTACTCACAGACCTCTCTTATATTTGTGTTTGTTTCTTGTCTTTTTTTAGAGGACGTGTTTCTTATGAGCTCTAAAGACCCYAAAAATCCAGTAATCTACGCTGTGTTCACCACATCCAGGTACACCAGCTTCTTTTTTTATCATGAAAGGGATCTAATTTTCCAGTACCTTGTCACATTTGTTTGGCTGATTAGTTGCTAGGAGATCAGCAGGAGTTGAAATACAATATTTTTATTGAGGCAAGCTTCCTGGAAGTTATTTAAAAATCTTATGTTCTTTCTTTCCTGTTCAGTTTAATTTCCAAAGTGTTTTAAACAACATGGTAGCCTTTCAGTGACCAAGCGTGCCTCCTTAAAATTCCCAGACCGTGCTCCTGTAATCCACTTACAGGTGTGCTGCGGTTGCTTTCCCTTCCAATAGAAACACAAATTGGGCTTTGCTTTTATCCAGTTTTCCCATTCCTCGCTACCTGTCCCCTGTTTCATYGAAACCCTGGCAAGCTTTGTTGGGAAATCCGATTACAGAGCAGAGGGGAGCCAGAGAAACACGATATTCACTTAGCAGGAATGYGTGTTCCTCCCCTGGCCACCGCCCCAGCCTTGAATGGTGTTTTCAGAGGCTGGGTGTGTCCCCATTGAAGCATGTGGAGAGGTGAAGGCACAGGGAAGGGCAGATAAGTGCGCTGAAACGGCACAGATGGTGGCACTTATCATGATGATAGCGAATTTGCATTTGGGAAGGAGGCGGGGGTGTTTTGTGTCCACTGCTGTGTGTGAAGCCCTTTTGTAAAGAGGACAAGCACATCCCCATCAATCACAGCTAATGATAAGACCAGCTGAATGGAACATCAGGGTGAAACAACACGCCGCCTTGCATCACCAAGCCCGGGTGGTTTTTCCCTCTGATCTCTGGATCGTATTTAAACCGGGAGATTGGTGCGCATTGGCGGGCATCCACCTATGCATTTGCATGTCTGCTGCACACACACCAGCGTGCGCTTTAAAATTCAATTACGGGGCATTGAGGAATTAGAGTGGTTTAATTGGTTTTCTAAGTGGTCGGTTTTTCTGAGATGAATAGAGCAGAGATTCACAGGAACCAGCTTTTAATATCACTGCTTAATGAGGCACATAGATGCTGCCGCTGACAGATCARTGTTCGATTGTGCTCCGATTCCTGTGCGCACGTCTCTGCCACGTTCTGAGGATGAATTCACACACGCTCTACGCCTGTGCGCGCGTGCGTTGTCTGCAACAACCCCATCGTCGCCCTTCCTCCCCAGCGCAGATATTGGAGTGTCTTTTTCTTGCCCCTGGAGTTAATTGAATTTCTCTGTAATTAACATTTTCAAATGCTAATCCATTCATCTTCAGTGCTTTGGTGAACAGTGTCGGCCGTGTGTATGCCAGCCACATCCCTAATTAGTCTGATCCAACTTCCCAYTGCAGTCAGCAAAACAAAGGACATCTTGAATTTAGCTAGTTTGTGAAAGTGCAGCRGGTTTGCTGCCATCTGTTAAAAGGTGAAAAAAGTTTAGATCATTTCTGAACATCTAAAAGAAAAAATCAGCTTAAAACTATTCTATTCTAGCTGTCTTTGTTAAAATTTAAGCAACAGATTATGATTATTATTGGAATATTCCTGTAGAACTCCCAAATTTTCAGTTCAAATGAGTCAACTCTCCCCACATTTTCTTTWTTTTACTACACAATTGTTCAGCCTTGCCTATTTGAATCTTTTTGGAGCAGTGAAAGGCAAAAAAATCCCTCCATCTGGCTCAAGCAAAGGCTCGCAAAAATATTGGAAGGTGTTTGAAACGCAGTCGAAACCAGGTCTTCTGTTTTGTTGGTGGCGTGCCCAAATTCCTGTCTGTTCTCAAGAGGCTGGAAGCAATCAGGGAGAAGTTCCAATCTGTCATTCCTGTACTTAGGTAATGACAGCCCTGCTCCCCTCTGCCTTTGTGCGATGAAGGGTCATTTTGTTGTCTTTCTCCAGTATTTCACAAATTCCTAATCCGTGCTTTATGACCGATCTGTCATGAATCCCYGCCGCTTGTTTCTGCCTATTATTTACTCCACCTCCCTTGTTCTCCAGATTCTTACATGCTTTTACCCTTTCTTCTTCCRCAGCAACATATTTAAAGGCTCAGCAGTTTGTATGTATAACATGGCAGACATTAGGAGGGTTTTCCTGGGCCCCTACGCCCACAGAGATGGGCCCAACTATCAATGGGTGCCTTTCCAAGGGAGGGTCCCCTACCCTCGGCCTGGAACTGTGAGTCGTAATGTTAAAARCAAACAATGACGTCATTTGCACATAAAATATGTTATAAAACCTTCCTTTCCTTTCACTCTCAAATTCAGTGCCCCAGCAAGACATTCGGAGGCTTCGACTCCACCAAAGACCTTCCCGATGATGTCATCACCTTCGCCAGGGGTCACCCTGCCATGTACAACCCAGTGCACCCGATTGGGGGGCGCCCCATCATGGTTCGAACAGATGTGGACTACCAGTTCTCCCAGCTGGTGGTGGACAGGGTGGAAGCCGAGGACGGGCAGTATGATGTCATGTTTATTGGAACAGGTAGACTGAACTCCTTTAGACACAACTCTACAAGTTTGTTTTGGGTTACTCAAAACACATACATCCTTCTATTAAAGCTATTTTATGAGCTATAGAGGACCATGACTCAAACAGGAAGTTGAAAACAAAACAGTGATTAATCAACCAATCAGAACTGGTCAGAGCTGTGGTTTAAGATCTGTTCGATGRTGTTGGAAATGGTTTGTTCTCTTGTAACGCAGCAGGTCGGACATTTGAAGGGGTTTTAATCATGAGCGTGCCAATTTAMAGTATATCTGTGTGCTGTTTCTCAGATGTGGGAACTGTATTGAAAGTGGTGACAATCCCCCGGGAGAGCTGGCACGACTTAGAGGAGGTTGTCCTGGAGGAGATGACTGTCTTTAGGGTGCGTTGCTCAGAACCGAAGCGACTCTACAAGAACATAAAATATGYTGCTTATAGATGTGGTGCTAAACATCTTGTTTGTTTTTCGAACAGGAGCCCTCTGCAATTACTGCTATGGAGCTGTCAACTAAGCAGGTAAAAACGTGTTTTCACATAATTAGTTTCAAAGTGAAACACGTAAATGCACTCTCGATGACCTTTATTTAAACCTCAAAATAACGATGTTTAACCTGCTTGCATCCACCCAATTGTTTTTTCTCTCTGAAACTTCCTGGCCGAGACACAGAGGAACGTTTAATTTTACGTTCTTTCTTTCCCTTTTGCTCCCACAGCAACAGCTGTACCTCGGCTCAGCTCTGGGCGTATCGCAGATGTCTTTACATCGCTGCGAGGTGTATGGGAAAGCTTGYGCCGAGTGCTGCCTAGCCAGAGACCCTTACTGCGCTTGGGACGGCGCTGAGTGCTCCAGATACTTTCCTACTGCCAAGAGGTAGGAGCTTGGACACATTTAACACTCCTCTTTAAGCTTTATTTATCCTCGGAGGGTTTGCTGAGCCTGCACGGCTTTTTTTCCAGCAGTAATGTTGTAGTAATAGAATTGAACGTAGCAAAACCTGGGAGGTATTAACACACCTGCATTGTTGTTGGCTTCAAATTGCTGTTTTTCTTTTTCTGGATGTACAAAAAATAAAGTGAGACTATTGTGCCAGACCTCCACTGGCCTATCAGCAACAGCAGTAAATCTAAGGAAGATAAGGAAAAAATCAATCAAAAACCACTAAATATGGAAATAATCAGACACAAAAAAGGAGTTACTAAATACACACATGCACAAGTGTGCATTCCAAGAAATACAATCCTGCAACCTGGATTGGTGCTCCTGCCAGCAGCAGTTTTGAGTCTATTGCTCTCCAGTCAGGACACACACACACACACACACACACACACACACACACACACNCACACACACACACACACACACACACACACACACACACACACACACACAACTACAGCCAATAGGAGCTGTCTGACCAATTCATCCTGCAGCCAGGAGGTATAAATCACTCTCAAATTACCCTCTATTCTAACCGGCTGACCACTTCARCYTTTCTATACCAAAAAGAACAACACGGCCACGTCTCGTTCACAGTCCAGCACCAGCAGAAGCAGACCAGAGGGTATCAGTAGACCGGTGGCACACCCCGTTTGTTGTTAATAACCAAGACCGGCTCRTCTCAGCTCACCGCTACACAGCAAATATTTTCCCTCCCAGAGCGAAGGCCAGACATCAGGCCCGCGACGTGCTTATATGAACAAAAAAGACTGGAATGTCAGCTCAGGAAATGTAAAGAGAGAAATATGCGAGGAGGAAAAAAAAGGGGGTATACTGGTGGAATACACACATGCCTACTGACAACTTTATTCAGCTCTCTCTTTTTTTTCCCATTATTTTCCTCACTGCTCTGTTCCCTGCTGCCCAGCCATCATGTTGGGCTCTTTTACTATTACATCACGTGTCGACCTGTCAGCAGCTTTAAACCGTGACAGATAGGAGCGGGGGGAAACACTTGCAGCTAGTCTGTAAAAGCCAGACCATGAAAATGCCCAGCCATCACTATAAAAAAGCCAAAATGACGTAGTGGAACTTCGTACGGAGAGGACAAAGAGCAGCCCGGCCGCTTCGAGAGCACAACAGTCCTGAACGTGTTTCATAATAACGGCTCRTTGGACATAAATGAAGCGTGGCATTTCAGCATTAATGGTTCTTCAATTCTTCCAGGTTTTTATTCTTTATTTTTCATCCATGTGGTTAATCAATGGGGTAAAAGGYTGAGTAAATGCCCATCTATCAAGCATTGAACAACATTGCCCTCTAGTGTTTGAAATCTGGCATTACAGAAAATATTTGAAGTCGCAGCCAACATCACCTTCGCTTGTGGTTTGTTCACAGGAGAACCAGGCGGCAAGACATCAGAAACGGGGATCCTTTGTCTCAGTGCTCAGACCTGCAACATCATGGTACTTCAACAAACAAACAAACAAACAAAAACACTTTTTTCCCCCCTTTCAATCATCTTACCCACTCTTGTCTTTGTGTTCGGTCAGACGACGTGGACGGCCTCGGAGGCAGCGTGGAGGACMGGAGTGTGTTTGGCGTGGAGAACAGCAGCATGTTTCTGGAATGCAGCCCCAAGTCTCAGAGAGCGCTCATCTACTGGCAGCTGCAAAGAGCCAACGATGACCGCAAGCAAGAGGTCTGTGTTTGCATTAATGCAAGAGAATATGTGTGTTAGAGGGGGGGAAGTGTCAAATGCAGAGAATGTGCACATTAGGTGCTWACTATGGCACTGAATGCATTTTAAAGTGTAAAAATAATATAGCACGATGGTTATGAATCACACATTAGAACTAAAATGTTTACTTTAAATTCAATCCCASCAGACAAAATGAATTTCTGTGCTCGTGCTTTATCGTTTGACCTGTAACATTTTTTATCATTAACCTCGCAGAACAGGAAGGGCAAAAAGTTTTGGGTGTGGGTGTTTARGTTTCCTTTTTGACCCGAGGATGTAACTGATTACTTTTAAGAATTTGCACCGGGGCTATATTTTTCTAGCTGGTCCCTGAGACTGTGTCGTCTCGGGAACCAGCGAAATGAGAAATGTGATACAGGAAGACATGCTGAGCTGCAGATCCTCCAGTCTGTTGGCTTATCTGAATCAAAACACAGCAGTTTTATACATTTATCTGAAAGAATATTCTATTGGTCATAAAAAATGCTTATTAATCTTTGAGACAGTCCAAAAAGCAAAAGGCAGCACTTAGTAAGGTTTGGAGCAAACCTAATTCAAGATGGCCGTCACAGCTAACTGGTTCAGTAATTAGTCAGTTTTACAAATATTGAGCTGAAATTTGATGTGGAACTTTCTAAGAGTCATTTACAACAAATACACATGATTTTATGTTTGAACCTTGTTTGTTTATATCTAGATTAAGATGGATGACAGGGTGCTTCGCACAGACCAGGGTCTCCTGATCCGCAGCCTGAGCCAGTCCGACACCGGAGTCTACCACTGCCAGGCCGTCGAACACGGCTTCATTCAGCCTCTGCTGCGACTCAACCTCCAGGTTATCCCCACACACAAACTGGGGGACATTCTGCCCGGACCTCCTGGTGCGGGCGGCGGCTTAGGCCACTCAGCCAAGCACAGGGTGTGGTACCGAGACTTCCTGTCCCTGCTGGACCACCCGGAGCTGAACAGCGTGGAGGAGTTTTGCGACCGAGTTTGGAAGAAGGAGCGCAAACAGAAGAAAGCAAAGACTCCCAACGGGAACAATCAGGGCAAACCAGACAGCGCTGGCGTCTTGAACTCCCCGTTGCGGCCCAAAGCTTCGGCCCCCAACRCTCAGAAGCAGCAAGCCAGTCCCCCACACAGCAGGCCGTGGCTTCAGGCCGGAGCTTCTACGGGTGTCGGGCAAACACGGAGCCAGAATACCCAGAAAGGCCAACCGAATCTGAGCACGATAAGCAGCCAGGCCGCCAAGAGCAACCAGAAGAGCCAAAACGGGCAGAAGGGGCAGGGCGGACTAGTTGGCTCGCAGGTCACCGGGGGGTCTCGGGCAGGCAGCCAACACGCAGCCAAGTGGAGACGGCTGCAGGAAAATAAGAAGGGACGCAACAGGAGGACCCATGAGCTCCAAAGACCACCGCGCAGTGTTTGAGAGATGCACACCCAAACTTAACATACATAAAGCACAAAGCCATGCATCTACTAAAACACGCTCCGAGTTCCAGCTGACCTCCTCATAGCAGCAATCCATCCTGCTCACTTCTTTTATTAGCTAAAATATGTGAACTGCACCCATGAAACAAGGAAAAAACAAGGACACACAAAGGCACAAACCTGTGAAAAAAGACTGAAAAGGACTGAAACGCAGGAAAACTGTAAACGTGTGAGGATGTTGTTTTTTTCCACTTCCTGTACATAAGCTACTAAAAAAAGACCGGGACAAAAATGTTATTTGTCAATAAAAGAGTGGATTTGAGACGCTGAGAGGACACGTTAGGTGTGCAGACACGTACTGGAACAGAAACATTCACTGGGACCTACTGCCCGTCCTGGAAACTGGTTCCGAACTCTCRTTCTAAAGCTAGTTTTAGAGAGGAATAAAAAAAAGAAAAGCAGAGGAGCGGCAGCACCCTTAAAAAGAGAAGGGTTCATCTCTGTGTGCATGGCTTGCACCATGTTAAAAGACAAAAAGAAAAATAGTTACATAAAACATGCAAATTCATGCCACTGTGCAGACCTCCATCATAACTTCTCCTCTGAGGCTGGAGAAGCACCGTGCATGTTGTCAGTGTTTTAATAAGCTAATTATTTGTTTTACACCCCACAGAAAAACACTCCTTTTATCATTTTTGTTCCTTTCCAAACCTGCTCTGCTATTTTACGGGTTAAGTTTCAGGTTTTTAATCATCCAAAAATCCCTCCTGCTCCTTTCAAGTAACTTATTCTTATTTTGTTTACCAGAAATTTATCAAACTGGGACACAAATCCCAGTTCAAGGCTATGCTTTAAAAAAAAGCAGTCTGAAACAAAGCTGCCAGTTTTTTGTGTACATATATACAACAAATTGAATTCTCTGTGTATATACAGTACAAAAACAGTACAAGAGCACTACTTGACTATTATTTATTGCTCATTGTTTTGTGAAACGGTTGCATTTATTTTTGATAATTTTGGTATATTTCTCTCATCAGTATTCTGGAGAATCGACAGCAGCAGCAACAAAACCACACAAACGGACCAAGGTTGTTTTGTAGAATCCCTCATTTTGAGGACGTAAGGGTTGATTAAATCGAACGACTTTTTTGTGTTCATAAACCACGTTTGACAACAGTAAGCACAAATTTTTTATTATTATTTTTTGTCCCAGATCCATCGGACATGTCTTCATTTCACCCCGTAGCTGTTATACGTGTAAGATAAATCTCCCAACGTGAAAAACATTAGCTGTGAATCTCTGTAAGAAATAGTGGAGAAACGTTTTAAATCTAGTCTGAGGAGAAGACACATTATACTGCATGTGAATGCTACCTACAGTAAGTGCATCTTTTTCTATTGTCTTTTTACGTGTTTTTGTGTGCGAGGTTAAAAATGCCCTTAATTAAAGCAAGGTGTGAATTACTTTTTTTTTTGTCCTTACTTTTTTTGTTGTTTTTTGTTGTTTTTTTGCCAAAACGGTGATAACTAATAATCTGGCCAAAACAGAAGTATTTCCAAGCTCCCTTCATCTTTGATTCAAAGATGGTGCCTAATGTCCCTCCTCCTCAACACTCGAGTGTCGATGCAATAAATGCTCATTTGCGAGAGCTGAGAGWTACGGCTGCTGTAACGCAGTTCCTTCTGGCATGCATTCAGTTGTCGAAATAAACATCTCTGTTACCAAAAGAAAAAAARATGTATAAGAAGTTTCTGTGTTCTCTTTTTCTCTGCGGCCCAGTCCAAACATCCAGCCTGAGGCTTGATTGAAGTCACCTGGTAAGTGYTGGAGAGTTTAAGAGACTCGACAACGTTTGAGTCAGAGCGAACTCTGGGAACACAAAYGGTTTTAGTCAACACATGCAGCGAGGGTTTTAAACAATGTTTCATTAAGCGCATTTGAAATATGAGTTTCCCATTGTACTAATGTGTAAATGTCTTATTTCTGGTCTGTTTATCCCCCGTTTTTACTTAAAAGATTTGATAACCACGGTTTGCAGGGGAAAAAGAGCAGTTCATCATAAACAAAGCACTTTACAGTAAAAATCRCATCACAAGAAAAAAAAAACATAAAAACAGGAGAAAGTTTCAGATCTAATATGTCTGAAAGCCAGAAAGGATCAACTATTAACTTGAACATAATGTTTTAAACATGACTGAACTAAATTTGTATTCTTGAGAGTAAGAATTTTAATAAACATGTTCCAAACCAACATTAAAATATGAGGCAGTGTTACAGTTRAAATTTACAACTTTTAAGTGGGRAATTCCCACTTCCCAGTACAAATGATGTGCAGCAGAAACAGCTGGTAAAAAAAGAAACAAAATAGAGATTTTACATAAGTTTGTCCAGCTTCATAAACGGCTCACAGCCACCATAGAAACAACAAGCCAAACCAGATCTGTTTCACAGATTAGTGGTCATGTTTTTACAATAAATTAATAACTGTTAATTTCATTCAACAATCATGAAAAATGGCAGATATATATCAGAAAAATATATAATTTATAAGTAATGTAAACCAGACCTGAAGTCAGCCTGTAACTTAGACTTTAGCTAGTTGAAAATGACGACTTCAGCTAGTAATAAAGTATATTTAATATTTTTTTCTTACTGTCATAAAAAATAAATATTTACCAGTCACTTAGAAAATGTTCTCTGTATACCTGTTATGGGATGGAACTTGTCTCTATTAGCTAACCATCATCTCAACAAGTCAGGTTCCTCTAAAAGAAACCTAAAATACTCACATTTATTTTAATATTTGACACTCTGTAGGTCTAAATATTAATCAGAGGACAAATCAGCTGTAATGTTTAATAATTTGTTAAATTGTAGCATGATTCAACAGTGCTAAACTCTGCATATATGCTCAACAATCTAATTTCTGCTAACCATTTCAAAAAACAACAGCGATTACATTGACTTTGTAAGATTATTTTAATTTTAAACTGTTACACTATGTTCTGCTCAGATCACATTGAGCTAAATAAGATCAAATCTGCTGACTTGTGTTGTGAAATGAGATGTTTTCCTGTTTATCTTCTGTTAATGAATCCACAACACAAACAGCTTTTCTGACATTWTTTAAAACATTAGATTTTATAAAACTGTAAAATATTAGTAATAATTGGGTTAATATTATTATTAATAGTTTTTGTGATTTCCACATCGTCAGTCCTCTTTTTCTGCTCTGYTGTCAACATGTACAGTATTGGGAAATCCAGACTCTTGACCGTTTTGCGTTAGCCGTTGGCTTGAATGTAGTTTGTATTCAACGTTGGCTTTAAAGCAGCACGTGCTTATTTTAAGACATTAATACATCTTTGAATCACTTGAGGGCCACATAAAATGGGTCACAATTTGCCCGCGGGCCTTAAGTTTGCCGTGTTTTAGATCATCCGCCAGGGCCAGCACCAAAGATGGGGGGCCGAGCCAGACGCTTTATATCCTTCTGAATCTCAAATTTTCATTTGTTTTATGGGATAAGTAACCTCATAAAACACTACTAACATTTTTGGACCAAATAATAATAAAAAAAAATCAAATTTAAATAGAAGTTAAAAACAAATCTTGAATAAACACAATGGGTCTTAACAGGTTAAACACAATTCAAAATGTTTTTGTTGATCAGTTCTTGTCAGAAATGAGAGAATGGTTTTTTCACCATGGACTGGGTTCGACAAGTCCACGAGTTGGGCACAAACGTGGTTTGAAGTGCTCAGGACGACTTCAAATAATAAATGTTAGAATGTCTGTTTGCCTGCTCCTTGTATATTTATAGAGACGTGTTTGAAACCTGGGCTCAGGACGTGACGTGCGCTGAGCTCAGCTAAAGTTTCCACACAGCGATGCATCACAGCCTGTTTACCCCAACACAACATATCTACAACAGATGGGAATGTTTCTTGAAATGGAAAAAAAAAGTAATTCATTTCAACAAGATCCTTTTTTTAGACGGGTTAAAAGTGTTTGTTGCAGAGAATTGTTTGGAGTAGAAAGATCTGTTTATGTGTGAATCTGTGTTTTCTCCTCATAGAGACCACGCCTCCCATGTTTTTCTTTCCTGTCCTCTTAACTCCCACAGCAGAAGGCCGCACATTCTGAGTCTGCTTCTGATGATTTTATATTAACCCTCCTGYTATGTTGCGGGTCATATTGACCCGTTTTAAAGTTTAAAAATGTTTAAAAAATAGTTTAAAGTATTTTTTCTGCATGAAACTTTTTATATTTGTCTTAATGGGTCTAACTTACATATAAAATGAAAATGGTCCCCCCCGCGTCTACATATTACATAAATACTGTTCAGGTCAATTTGACCCAGCAGTCAAAATGAAGCGTAAAAAGGGTCAAAAGTGTCCAATACTATTTGTTTATTTGCAACTATAAGACATATTTCACTTCAAACACACACACACACACATGCTGGCAGATAGTGGGACAATGTGGCACAAGTGGGTTGAGCAACTTCCACTTCTTTAGGCCCTAATGTCACAGTGGATGAAGGTTTGTGGCAGTCAGAGGTTGCTGCTCATTTAGACAAAGTTTATTTTCAATATAAATCTTCATGACTCACAAGTCTTGGTTTTTAATTAGCGGGTCAATTTGACCCAGGTGTCTCAAGTTCAATTATAAATATCAGTCACAGAAAAAAAAATCAAACAAAAAAATCTGTTTAATTCATAATCATTGTTTTTTTATGYGAGTATGTTTTTGTATTGGACATAAAAAAATGTAACATGCTTTTTTTTAGGAAAACAAGTGAATTGCCCTCATTGATCCTTTATCTGAAATAAAAAAGAAAACATCAATTCACAAATATTGATTGAAATTGTTAGTAATGGAGTTAATAATCAGATATAAAAATGTTTTGAGGGATTTTTTTTGTTGTGTTTTCTGACACTATAGCATGATTAAACATGCCCCAGGTTAAATTCACCCAGGAACATTATTGCTGTTCCTCAGAAACAAACATAGCAGAAGTGAATTAAATTCAGGTCAAATCAACCACTAGAGGTCCCTGTTTAACCACTTTATTTTAGCTTTTTCCTAAAGCTTCATAAAATACCTATATTTAACCTTTAATTTACTCAAAAGTTGTAAATTTTCTCTCTCAGGTATTAAATTTAGACCCAACTACCCAGAAACTGTCTCTGCGAGCGTTCCGGCCCGAATGATTAAAGAGCCTCAATCATGTTTCCTGTCCCCAGGTTTCACGGGCCTTATGAATTTGCTGGTTTCCATGACAACTGTCCTCGCGTGTTTGAGCTTTTACGAGACTTGGCCGACGTTTTGGAGGATTTTATTACAGTTCATTTCGCCACGGGGGACCTTTGCACTGTCTAAAACAACAAAATCCTACATTTATTAATTTTTTCTCGGTATATTTTCAGGTAACAAGGGGAAATCTACATGCAAATGAATCTGGTTGCATTCAAAAGTGATTGAAACGGATCAGGACATTATTAGGCAGCATGTCACAGCTGATGAGTTTATTTCTTACAATGCCTCAAGGACTATTGTTGGTCYCTTTCTTTCATTGTAGGATGATTATCACTGTGGGGTATGATCTGCTCACTAAAAACTGCTCRGTTAAAAGATGTGCAGCCCAGTCCTGCATCAAATCTGCTCCAAACCACCAGAGGCCTCACGAGTCCAAACCAATAAATGAGCCAACAGTTTTAATCCCAGCAAGTTATCAAAGTAACCCAGYGGTTCATACTGTGGCCCAGTGGCGGAGCCAGGATTTTTCTGAGTAAGGGGCCATCAACGGGCCACAATATTCATAGAGGGGCCAAGTATTTATTCAGCGTCCTTGCACACAAATCACTGATTTTGGTATGGTGTATATGTTTTACCAGTCACACATTTAAACACTTGTATTGTCATTTTAAAACAGCTTGCACTGTAAATTMTCCTTACTAATTTTATATGCATTTTACAGTACATAGATAAAATACTCTCAAACACACAACATTTGTGAGTTAAAATACTTTTTCTACAGGACTTTTCAAATTTTAAGAAAAGAAAAATACTTCTGTCAGCTTTATTCATGCTGGACTTTTCTATTTGGCTCGTTGGCGCCTCTAGTGTTTAGACATGGAACTGCACCCAGCGTCATCACTCTTGGGCAAAAGACAGATGAGTGACAGGACAGGGGCACTTCAGGGGGCCAATCAAATTTCAGCAGGGGCCAATGCCCCTGTGGCCCCGCCCCTAGAACCGCCTCTGCTGTGGCCTGGTCATAACTGTTGAAAGTTGGCTCTGTTAAAAAAATAAATAAAATAAAACTCTGACTCATCTTTTCTTACCCAGGAGCCTATCTGAGGGATTGTGGGAAATCAAGGCTGAGAAGAGAATCTATAGCTGAACAACAGCTGCTGAGTTTTTCTAAAGCGTCACAGAGTTTATTAAAAGAGAAAGGCTTCACCGCTGCAGGGCCGTTTGTTTCATTCTACCTCAAGAGCTTTATTATTTGATCTTTTCTGCTCGCCTTTCTTGGAAGATGGAACTGATTCGTCTCCTTCAGGCTGATAGAACATCTCATGGTGGCACRCACAGTAAATCCATCATCACGTTTCAACACGAGCAGCTGCATTATGTTCATCTTGAGGAGCTCCTGTAATTAGTGACCCCAGCTGAGGCAGGAACCACAGCTCTGTGATGACAGCTGACATTTTCCACTCAGACAGAACC